CGATCTATGAGTTTGACTGTCCCTCTGGTATCTTTCGTCCCTCTTCTGGAAACGGTTATTTTGGACGATGAGTACATGTTGGCTTCACATATTTAAATCATCATCTGTAAAGACATATTTCTGCAATTAAAAATAATCAGCCGAAAATTTTGAATTATCATTACTCTTATGTATTCAAATATGGGAACCATTTAATTTTATATCCTCTTAAAAATTCGTGTGGTCCATAATCTTTAATACTTTTTATAGTCTATTTTAATAAATGCGTAAAATTATAATGAAGTTTTCTATCCTCTTCGATCAAATATTTACGTTTACCTGCAAACTTCAAACGAATAACTGTCAGAATAAATCTGAATATTGATGGTATCTGTCGTTAAATAATCTTTTTTGACAAGATTTAGTCAACCGTATTAAATAGTATGATCAGAAACTATAAATTATGACAGTTTTACAGCAAGCATCTGGCTAAAGACTATTTACACATTATCTTTTTCAAAAAAGTCTCGACAGGGAACTGGTCATCTTTTTTAATCGCGAATACTTTGTCTCCTTCTCTTGTTCGTTGTGGATATTATTCCAGACATTTCATTTTGTTTTTCAACAAGCGATGAATCTTCTCCCATTTCTGCACACTAATCGGCCAGGGTGAAATAGGCTGTGGTGGAGTGGGTGCAAGTTATGTTATAAAGTATGAGCGTAGACATACATAAAGTTAATCTCTTTACTCATATAAACATGCAGTAACATTGCATTTACAATTTTGTAACTGTGCGTTTTTCATTATTTTTATAAAATATTTGTGTTATGTGACTTATTTGAAATGCTATAGTAAATTTGTCCTTGTCTTGGTTGGAATTTTTCTAAAACTACATGCAATACAGTCCTACTAACTAACATACATGTTACATTATTTGCTTGATTGATTCGTGTTTAACGCCACTTTCAGCACTATTGTTCTATTTCATGGCGATCAGTTTTTATTGGTGCAGGAAGGCGGAGTGCCCGGAGAGAACCACCGACCTTCGGTAGGAAAACTGACAATCCTAGTCAATTAAGATTGGAATCGAATGCACCTGCCAGGTGCGGGGTTCGAATTCACAAACCCAGCTGGCTAGTGATACGTATATTGTAGTTCGACTATACTTAAACCACTCGGTTACCGAGGCCCTCGTATATGTTAGAAGAGATTACACTAAGAAACTCGTGATGATATGTGACTGTGGCCCTCCTTTGACTATGTAAAAGTTTAATCCTTATTAAAGTATTGAAGTTAGGGATGAATTAATCAGAAATGTGATGCATAATTTTTTATTTGTTTTTCAAATCCTATTCAGAGTTATCCTATTTTATGTTATTATAAATTAGAAAGACAGCGAGATTGTCACCAAACACAGCGTAAGTCGTGCAGAGTTCGACAATTTTTGTTTCTGCACATTAAATTGTATGCATGGTTCTGCCACATTAAATAAATTCCTAGACCTGAGTTATGTCTTCTTTCCCATTGCAGTATTATACAATAAAAGGCATAACGGGAATCGCTAAAAGTATGCCACACAGTACAATAGGTATTTTCGTTTAATTTTGTTAGGTGAAAACATAGAAAAAAAACTGATAACTGTGTTATATCTCTAGTTTGTGGTATTTTTTGTACCAGCTAGTAATTTTATTGGTACACAGATAGTTCTTCTATTTTACTTGCATTAATAGAAAAACAAAGGATATGGGGTATTCATCCATGATACAAAATCAGTACATGCACAGTAAAAAAACACACAAAAGGCAAAGGAACAGCACTTTTATTGCTGTTCTTCATATCAAAGTCACAGTGGGGCCTTCAACACAGAGCAAAAAAATCTAACCTCACTGCAAGTTTAAGACGGCCCCTAGCACCGGTTTGAGCGTAATTCTTTGCGAAATGATTCGGATAGACTTTTTAAAATATAACACCACCAAATCGGGCCCGGTCAAAAAAACATACTGGAAAGTAGTATACATATTTAAAACAATAGTTCCTTCTTAAAGGTGTTAATATTTTTTTCTCCCGAAAAGAGGACTGATCTTGAAGGATTTATAACCGTACAACATACTATACCAACCACTAACACCGGACTCATTTGAAAAAATAATGTCATAGAAACAGCCGTCCAGATAGCCTGGCTTGGGATACAGACATAGAGTTTGGTGGAATAAACCAGTTTTCCGTCCGCACACACCTCCATTTTTGTATGTTTTTCTACGGCTCATAGTTTTTATTCCCCCGTATATGTATTTTTTTTTTTCATTTTTGGAGAAGATTAATTCATTTTTAATAGCAATACAATGTAGAATAATATATGGTTGAAGGCTATAATTTGAACCAATTCGTTTTGGCTTTGCGTTTCTATATATTAGGAAAATATTTTGCCAAAAATAGCAAAACATTTTAGGAGTTGAATTGAAGAAATCGGTCAAATTCAATCCTTATAATTCATAAAATTAATAAAACGGACACTCATTAAACGTTATTTTTTAACGACCAGTAACTGTTTTTAAAATTGCTTATAACTGGTCTCCAGTTTAGAAACTTTATGTTTATACCATATTTTCCATGGGTCACTGTTCAAGGATTCATTCATAGTTTGTCGAAACTTTTGGATTTTCTTTGATATGTGATTTGTGCAGTATACAGTCATGAAATCCATAATTTCTATTTGTGAACAATTTGTTTATATATAATTATATCAGATTTACAATGCACTATAAATGATTTTACTCAATATTTATATATACATATATATATAAACACATCTATAAATAAACATTGCGGTTTTTATCCAACGCAGTCATAGGTTTGAACGTTATTTTCAATCTAGAATTATTTATATAAACACATCTATATATTCTTTTTTCAATGTGAACGCCACGAACAAACCTATGCAGTCAGATAATAAAACCGTGTTAATTTGGAAGTGAAGAATTTTCCAATTAAATTTATCAGTAAATAAATGATCTTTCCTGTGAGTTTGGCATTCCAGTATAGTTTGAGCGAAGATATTTTGAAATGTTACTGGTCGATTATCTCTGGAACATGGACGCGGTTTTTATCATGATCTTATACTTAATTTTGTTTAAACTGTACGGTACTACAGTGTATATAGCACACTCTATAGCATTCACAAGAACAAATATTAGAAATGTTTGATTTACTGATTTTGCCAATCACGGGTCCTCTATCTGTTCATAAAAAGGGAGACGTGTCCGTATGTACCGTAATTGAGTGACAGCAACTCAACGACTGAAAACCACAAAAGGCATTCAAAAGTTAACATACAGTCTTTCTAACAAGTAGATATAAGATGTGGTATGAGTGCCAATGAGACAACTCTCCACCCAAGTCACAATTTATAAAAGTAAACCATTATAGGTCAAAGTACGGTCTTCAACACGGAGCCTTGGCTCACACCGCACAGCAAACTATAAAGGGCCCCAAAAATTACTAGTGTTAAACCGTCCAAACGGGAAAACCAACGGTCTAATCTATATAAAAAACGAGAAACGAGAAACACTTATGAACCACATCAACAGACGACAACTACTGAACATTAGATTCCTGACTGTCTATAAAGATATCATGCATTATGTCAACTCGTAATCGCCCCGAGTCAAGAAGAGTTTAAATAGATTAAAATCAACAGAATACTACAATGTATACTAGTATATAAAATCTGTCTTCAATACTGTCTTCTTATATAGGGCTGGCAAATGAACATGTGGTTGAAGTAAACTATATATATTCTTAAGATTTCAACCTCTCGCCTGTTTAAACTTTATAAGTTAAATAAACAATGACATATCAAACGCAAAAGAAAAATATGAACAGCAAAAATACGTATACACTAATATTTGATAGGATAACAAAAGGAAGTACAAACATACCACACCAAAATGTGCTCAAAATTACGAAAGTATTTAACCTGCTGAAATCTTACATTCTAATATCAGTGGCTGTACTTCGGAGAAGATATCAAATATCATAAGTTCATATGACTTTGATTGCATATTTGTTGAGAAGAAGCTCAAATGAACACTTCGCTAACTATCAAACAAAATCTGCAACTCTGTAGCATTACAAACAAAAATGTTCATTAAAGTGTTTGATCTTTGGGTGGGCGGGGGGACAAAGGGTATATAAGTAGATATGCATGTGAAGGATCATTGAATATAAATTTGGACATGGTTTATTACAACTCGCTCAGTGGTCATGAGAACATTTCGTATCATAGATGGGTCTTTATAGGCTGCGATAACCGGAACCAACATTGGACCATTTCACTAGAACCGTAACACCCGAAATATAAATGTAATTGCAAAGAAAATATTTAGTACATTATCTTTCCTTTGTGCTTTATTTGATTTTTTCGAGAAGATTATGGCCATGTGAATAAGTTCACAAACAATTGAAATTAAGACATAAAACAAAATTTAATGTTGGGAAAACAAGCCACATTCTGATTCACATTGGAATGCTTGTGTCCACGTTTGGTTCCAGCTAACTCAACAGGGAGTATCGGTTAAAACGTGGGTTATGGCTAGTGAGTGTCTAATCAATAATGCATACGGCGATCGTTGTTACTCGCATACTGTTATTCATGCTTATTGCTTTTTGACAGGCAATGCAATAACAAGTGTTTTACCGAATTTTGAACCGTTTTGACATACTACAGCATGAAAAAAAACGAGCTACGGTGAAATATAACAAGTCTTTTGAAACGTTCTTGCTATTTTACAGGTACGACAGACAGCTACTAATCACCAAATCATTAAAATAAATGTTTTGTTGTCAATTATTATAACGCTTGCACCATAATATAACAAACCACCGATGTACAGTTACTGCTTGATTGATAGTTCCGTCATAACATCAAATCGAACCTGCCAATCACTAGCCTTGGGTGAAGAGAAGGAGTCACTGAACCGTGACACAGCAATCGTTAGATATTCTTCGTGTGTACCTCACTTGCGTATGTTGAATGTTGCTGGTACTGTAGGATAATGATAGCTTCTCCGATACAGTGCTGATTTCATTTTGTCACGTGTGTACAAGATAAAAAGTACGGAGTTTGAACTGTTGAAAGCTATTATATCGAGTGGTTTTGTCCCGAGGAAGAAATATACTGTTTGATATCTTATTTAATGATACGGTTGGAAGAATGATAAAACACTCTAATCTTGTTATATTTAACAGAAAACAGCGCAAACAGGTAAATCTTTTAATCTTTAATTTGAAATTATTTTTTAAAGTTTCTATTAAGTTTTCTTACTGTGCTATATATATTTCTTTTCCATTTTTGTTTTTGTTTTATGAAATTGATTCGATTTATAACATTAACTCCAATTCCCTGTTATATTTTTCAGTTTGAAAATGTTAAACGTACGTAAAATTATTCTCACATACCAAATCAAATATGTCTATGTATTTGTGCATCAGTTTAATCTGATGAAACACGGACAATACAAATGGTCATCAAGTTACATGTCATTTTTGCACTAATTAACCTTTCAACAATTAAAAATCAGTTTGAAATCTAATTTTTCTAAGTATCAAATTCTGTTGCTTTCTGATCATAATCGATCAATTATAAACAAAAATAAATCTGCCAATGTTTATAGAAATACTAAAGTCATAAAATATTGTCCTGACTTAAAAACTTCATTAAATCAGAGGATGGACAATGGTCACTTCGAAGAATGACCAGCCCGGGGGTCAAGATCAAACTAGTGATATGTCAAATCTAGTAGATGGCTTAATTTTTACTGATGAATACTGGTAAAGGACAGCCGTTTTAATCATCGCCAGTCAGTTTAATGATTTTTGTACACAAATAGAGATTTATGTGTTAGACGGACATTTTTTATGTATGTTTGACCCTGGAATTTGATTGTTGTGGTCGTAGTTTTGATGTGTTTATGTGATTTTGTGTCTGATCTGCCCTGACCTCTTCAATAATGCTACAAGGATGAAAAATATGGAAAATTTCACTTATGTTCAGGTAATTTAGAGCGTTCTTTTGTACCTATAATGTGTTTGGTTTTTTTAAAAGGCGAAACACAAAAAAAGAGAAAATAGATGAAGAAAAAGGTATTTGGCAACTGTGGCTAACTTTTCGGGAAAAAAATATAAAATTGTTTAGTCTTTATATATTAAATATGACACTAAGTGTTGAGATTTGAACGTGAAACAAATTTATGGATCATATTCTAATATATCTATTTTACTTCGAGTAATAAGATTATGTGTTTCAAAAAAAATTAAGCGAGTCACGGATCAAAAAAAATCTTTGATGTCTGACTGTCAATTTTGAAATACAAGAAGCCTGTACAGATGGTTTTGTATTCAATTATGGCCACATGTTAAGAATTAGTGTTTTATCTCTTCCGCATCATTTGAAGTAAAGTATAAATAGTCAATATTTTATATACTTACTACATAAACAAGCTTACCTAGATAAGTTGTATTGATATAACCTGTAGGTAATTATTATTAAATTATTCATACAAATATACAATAAATGTGAGACTTAGGATAAATCTTTTCTTGAACTATATATTTTAAATTTCCTTCTTATAATGCCGTCACAAAAATATCAGTATGTCTGCTTGTAATGTTTATAAACTAAGGGACAATATATAAGTGTTTTTTTATATATCAAGAATTTACTATTCAGTATCTTATCTTCGTAGTGAAAGCGTTTGAATCTAAAAGTGAGAAAAAATTACAAGAACTTTTTCAACTGATAATCATGTGTCAAGTCTTGTCACTCATCTTTGTTATCCAGATTCTTGCTATCAGAATCCACATTAAAATCAAAAGGCTTGTTTTAAGATGTCAGTTGAAAGAAGCTAAAAATGCCAAACATTATAACAAGCACATGCAACAGAAAATTAGTAGATTATATAAACAGATACTTGTTGTTAGTGCAAAAGTAAAAGTGTTAAGATTACAACCAGATAAGACCACACTTTTTTTCTGACAATTTTACCATTCCCCGAAAAAGTGGTGAAAAGGGTATGAAAAGTTTTTGTCTCATTTATATGCTCTTTGTCCTTTGCTTATATACTTGTGTGGATACTTTGAATACATATAAATATGAATTTAGACTTGTACTTATTTAATTTTTTTACAAGAAATTTAGAACAAGTAACTAAAAACGTTATATCAAATTTTACAAAGATATATGGTATATCTCCACCTTTTTCGTTTACCATTCAAACGGATTAGACTGTATACATCTATTTTCCGCGAGAATTTGTAAATGAATTCAAGTTGAACAGAAATCTGATCCCGTTTAATATTTAAGCTTAAGTTTACATTTTGTACTGAGGTATGCTGCTAATATGTTTACCATGTATGGGGGAATAAGTCTTTTTAGAACAATCAAATTGCCTTCTGTATCTATACAAAGAGTTTTTTAATTCAGCTGATTTAGCTTTCAAATTGATGATGATCTCCTCTAGCATAGGCACTTGTCTCTGAAAAAAAAATCCTCTATATATCAAGTTTTAAAATGAAAACATACATTTATTTCAGACTTTGAAGAACCAACCTCGTTGCATCTATATAAATCAAATCAGCTGTATATTCAATATTTTTATTTGATTTGAATAAGGATTTTTAATCAGAAAAATAATCTAAACAATCAGTTTTGAAATATCCTCCATTAACACGTATGAAAAAACAATACCAGTCAATATTATATAATATGTTCTGTCTTATCTTTTTTTGCAAATAATTGTCAACCTAGAGATATTTATATACGACTGACATATTTACATACGTTTTCTCACTTTGATGAACTTGTCACTAGTCATCTGTACACGTCAGATACTAGAACTGACATATTTGGGGTTGTCTTGTATTCCGGGTGTAGATATGTTTATTACCTGTTTTTCTAGGATTAAAGAAAGTCAGAGAAAAACAACAAACATGTAAGGGAGTGATGACAAATTACAAAGCTTCCTGATGTACCGAAAAGGTTCCGAATGTACGTTTCGGAGAAATAAACATGACGACTTTGGTCAAATGTTTCGTTGACCACGATGACATGCAACTATGTTTATAGTAGACGCGAATAAAATTACGTTTAACTGCTTAAACCGATATTTACCAATGTTAACAAATGATAGTTTCTACTGGTATTTTGAGAGCATGGTTACGGAGAAAATTATACTGTATGGTCAACCTAATCTCGTTGAAATGATTGAGGTAATGTTTTATTGCACCTCTCATTAAATGCAAAGAACTTAAACCACTTAAGGGATGCTTTTTTTTGTGTAAAACTTTTCATATGTATGCTTTGTGTCGTCCTTGGTCAACTTGGTCATACATAAGTATGAATTTTAGGTATTCTATAGCGCTAATTGAGTATGGTATTAGCACTAAGTGTCTCGCTTCCGCTGACCAACTTTTGATGGACTGCAGATCAATGGCAGGCTTCGAAACAAGACGTGTCAATTATGAGGAGGCAGGGGGTAAATGTTGTACATTTTTTATAATCCTGTGTTGAAAGACTTTTTGTTTGCTTACCAATTAAATGACCAATACAACAAAGTAAAACTCACCAATCAGCCATCGGCTATATTCAGGGAGTCAAATTACTACAAAAAAGATGGGAGTGTGTTCATGGTGTTATTCTATATGGGAAATATCTTCGAAAAAAGGTAATACCACACAATTTTTTTTTTCAATTACAAATAATTACCTCAAATTACACAGGTCACGTGTCAAATTTCCTCAATTTTTGTATTCTAAAGTTCGTGTACGAAAAATTGAATATTAAACTTTTACAAACTGGTCACCAATGATTGATTATTAAGTGGGATAAAATAATCTCTGTGATAGTGGTTTTAATTTTGAATTAGGTATTTTATATTTCTAACAAAAATGTACCCTTTTGCTGTTCAATTAGAAGGAAGCTGGATACTTTACAAACCTACACACCGTATACATAGAGTTAGTATAGGACAATAGGTGGTTTACAACTTTAATAAAATTTGAAGAGTCTTAAAAGATGTATAAGACTTTCATTTATAAAGTTGTTGAGGCTTGAAAAATAAATTCTCCACAGGAAAAGAGTCTTTAATTTCGTATACAGATTTGATTTATATTCAGTTTAATCCAGAGTAAGATTCCCCTAGTGTAAGGATAATGTATGTTGTGCACCTTTCAACAACTTATGCACATTTTAACTATTGACCTACCAATAGCTTCGACGTTTGTTGATTTCTGTAAGTAATTTTAGATTATTACATGTATTGGGTTTTCATTTTGTTTGTTTTTGGTCTTTTTTGTTAATTGTTTTTTTATATAGCAGTATTCGTCTAATTTCAAAATATTAACTTACTATTCTAGAAAAGGTACAATTGGGAACAACTTCAGTATGTTTTATCACAATTTGATTTCTTGTTCAGTCTTTTTATATATCCTACTAAAACATATATAGACATATATATATTTAACTTTCGGGAAAAACACAAATAAAATCTTACAGGAGCGAATAAACCAATAGAACGAGGTATCTTGTTGATGAGATTTTAGTACCATTTGTATTGCTTAATTTTTCAGTTATCTTCGTAATATGCAGGTTATATAAACAATGGCCAAACGAAGAAATACGTGACATTAACCGACTTTTATTTGATATTGGTTCCTGCAAAAAAGAATAACAAAAAACTCCACGGTCATTTCAAAAAAGGGGGAGTCAAAAACTGACAAAATCAAACGTAGACTTTAAGCAAGTCATTTATTCGTCAATTTCTGTTTGTTCTGTCCCGAAAACATAACCATTTAGATGATAACCGACAAACCCATCTTTAAGTAAAATCTTCCAAACAATTTAGCGTAAAGATCGTCCTTAATCAAAATTTGTCTATTACTTGGATGACGGAAAGATCTTCTTCTGATAAAGAAAATAATAAAACGGCTAATAATTGGAGGTTATCAATTATAGGGGATTTCTGATACATAAACTCAAGATTTACTGACTTCTAGACTGACGGTTTTATTCGTCTGAAGGTCGTTTATATGGTCTTTAATCTTCATTTTGTCCCAGAAATAATCTTAATCGAATTTAAGTAAATTAAATCGATTTAAGTTCAAACTCATATCATAATTGAAGTGAGTTGATATATACTACTATTTGGGCATTCCTGGCCGCATGTGTCTTTTATCCTCTTCCTATTAGGGTTCATGTGCTACAAATTA